ACTTCCCTATATATTATCTAGCAATTACCTAGCAGTAACAAGCCTGGATATACATAGACATATTCAAAGGAGTCTTAAGTCAGCATTCCACAGATACTGTTCTGTATCCATGTTTATTACTGCCAGCCTAAGTGTCCGTCAGTAGGTAAGAAAATGTGGTATGCAGGCATTATAGCACAAGTCCTTAATCCCAGCACTGCAGAGACAGGCAGACTCTCTTGAGTTTGAGGCCAGCCTCTTATAATAGAGTGCTGTAGGACCACCAGGGCTATATAGTCAGGTCCCATATTTTAAAGATGTGGTACATATACAAAATGAAACTTCACCTATAAAAACAAATGAAATTATGACACACAGGAAAATGAACGGATCTGGAGACCATTATGTTAAATAAAATAAGCCGGGCTTAGAAAGACAAATACCATGTTTCCTCTCATGCAGAATATACACACATGCACGCACACACACACACACACATCACCCCTACCAAAGAGGAAGAACGGGCACTATAAGAGGAAAAGAATGAGTCTCTGGAAAGGAGGGAGGAACAAGAGAAAATAATGGAATGAATGTGTTGTGAAAACAGAAGGCAACAGTCTTTGTGAGGAGGCCAGTGTGGCAAACCAAACAAGGTATTATGCATACATGCTTGAAAATGTCAGAGGGAAGCCCGTTTCTGTACATACAAGCCAAAAATAATAAAAATTTTAAAAAGATTCAGGGCTGGTTTACTGGTAAAGTGCTTGTCCTGCAAGACGTGGCCTATGTTTGATTCTCAGAACCCATGTAAATAATCAGGGTATGGTCGTAGAGTTTGTGTGCTGGCTATGGGGAGGCTGAGGCAAGTGGATTCACATGGATCTCTGGCCAGCCAGTTGACAAGTTCTAGGCCAAATGGACAATACTTGAGCAATGACACCCACAGTATCTTCTGGCCCCACACAAAATCACATGCACCACACAAATATGACCTCACACAGGGATGGGGGTATAGTTCGGTATCTTCTTGGCATGCACCAAGTTATGGGTATTCTAATACTCAGCACTACTTTAAAAAATTAGTTCTTGGAGTAATCAGAAAAATATTTCATCTTACTGTATTAATACAGCATAGATGTATTAATACAGCCAAAGATTAGCCGTGCCCTGTGTGGCTGTGCACACCTGCAATCCCAGCATGTGAGAGGTGGCGGCAGCCCTGGCTGACCTGGAATCTGCTGTGTAAACCAGGATAGCTTTGAATTTGTGATTACAGCCACCCCCTACACACACACACCTGTTTGTTTGTTTTGTGTTTTGCGACAGGGTCTTACTTGTAGCCCAGGTTGTCTTGAAATTCCCCATATCAAGCAGGTTGGCCTTGAAATCCCGGAGCTCTAGCTACCTACCTCTGCCTTCTGAGTATTGTGATTAACGGCTTGCACCACAAGCCTTTTTTTTTTTTTTTCTTTTTCTAAAGTGGTACAGTGTTTATTGGTTGCTAAAGTAAATGAAGAAAGGAGGGAATATATTAGCCCGTGTTCCTACAAAAGTGTCTATATACAGTGTCTCCCTGGTCCTTTTTGTTGTTCTATGTAGGTCGTTTTATGCTTTCTGATACCAAGTTTTTGTTTTTCCATTCTTTTCCTTTACTTTAGACATTATAATATAATTACATCATTTCTCCCTTCCCTTATTTAAAGTTTTTATATTCAACAATCTTCCTTAAAGTTCTATACATTTCTAGAGGAAAGCACTTCCTTTTATTTCCAAGCTCTTCAGTGTTCATTACCTTTCTGTAATGGAAGCATTTGACTCTACTGGACTGTTCACAAATAGTCCTCTCATAAACAGTAATCAAATTTTAAATTACCGTCAGCATTGGCCTGTGTTCTACAGACTATCAAAGCACGTCATGCACTGTCTCCCCTTGACTGTACACTCTAGGAGACCTGGCTTGTCAGCGCCAGCTTGGCGTCCGGTCTTGTGTTTGTGCATGTGCAAGTGTTCATGTATCTGTGAATGTGTGTGTCCGCCAGAGGTTGACATCAGGTGTGTTGCTCTCTCATACTCTTCCTTTTTCTGACAGGGTGTCTCACTGAACCTGGATCTCACCAATCTGGCTCGGCTGGTTGGCCTCCCCAGTGATTTGATTATAGCATGTGTGGTCATGTCCAGCTTTTTATGTGGATGCTATGAACTCAAACTTAGGGCTTCATGCTTGCATAGCAAGCCCTCGACCAACTGAGCCATCCCCCCAAACCCAAACTTTTGACATTACACCATAACAGTGTCAGCTACAACATTCGTGTTGGAGAAGTCTGTAGTAGAGTTACACACACACACACACACACACACACACACACACACACACACCACAAAGCTGTGCCTGTTGTGTCAGACATGATGGCACATATCTTTAATCCTCAGAGGTACCTCTGAAGCAGAGGCAGGCAGATCTCTGTGAGTGCCAGGCCAGCAGAGCTATATACTGTCTCAAGAACAAAAACAAAACAAAAAAACCAACAAAGAAAAACAAGCCATAAATTTGGATGTTACATTAAATCATATTAATGGGTGTGAAACATACAGTGAGCATTCATTTGTTGCTGCTATAATAAAAATACCATAGGGATCACAGAGAAAATGTTGTTTTGGACCAAGGTGGAACCCTCAGTGAGGTACAGAAACAAGTTTAAGTATGCCAGATTGCTTCTTAAATTGCTTGTCTATTCTGTATGCTGTCCTGCCATTAGGAACCCATTTACAGTTTTGTTTACAAATGGAAAATGAGAAGACTATGGTAAACTTTAAAAGAAAGCTTTAGTGGAAGTTTCAATAGAGGTCTTTTGCACCTCTTCCCCTCTCTCAATTCAAAGCGTTCATCCCATCCCCCAAAGCCTGTCTGGATCTATTCGCTTTGTGTACCCAGATGTTTGGCTGCTATAGATTTGAGTGAGCAGCATTCTCATTTATTCTTTCCGTGAAGTGCTAAGAACCAGTGGTCATTGGTTTTTGTATTCTTTCTCATCAGATTTTTTTTAATGGTGCATCTGTCCCAAAATCTGAGATAATGGTGGCGGGACATGATGTGAGGGAGAACACTGAGTAATCTTGAACTACAGAGTACTTCCATTTTCTCTCTGAGTAGAGCTTGTGTGTCTGTGCCAGACAACATGACATCACTGAGAATGAGAAGAAGGAACAAGGATAGGATGTCAAATTTATTTCATTGTGTTCAAAATGTTAACCCATCAGTACTGATTTGCCCATGTTATTGTGGGTTAAGCAAGCTCTTTTGGGGTCCTACTAGGAAGCCAACTATGACTTGTGACACTTGATTTGGTTCCAAATTGAAAAGTAAGTCCTTTTACATGCTCTTTGGAATTCATCCCCTGTGGAATGATGGAAACAGTAATAGCTGTGTAAATTCAGATGAGATTTGTTCATTGCAGGTTGTAGGTAGGGTTGGGGAAATGAGGGAGGGAGGGGTTAGGACCTGAACTGGGCAACTCTTTCTCATCTTTCCGTAGAGGGAAAGTAAAGAGGACAAAGGTGGAGGTGATAGTGAGTTAGAAAAGTGGTGGTGGCACATGCCTTTAATCCCAGCACTTGGGAGGCAGAGGCAGGCAGATCTCTGACTTCCAGGCTAGCCTCATCTACAGAGTAAATTCCAGGACAGCCAGGGCTACACAGAGAAACCCTGTCTTAGGAAAAAGAAAAAAAAAAGTGGAAAGCAATGATAGTAGTGAGTGGCTTCAGTGATGTTGAAAAGTCTGGAAGCTTCAAGGAATGTATTTTCTTATTTATTACTCCATATGATGGTCCTTTTTCAGTGTAAGTGAATTTTGTGGCATTTTATGCTTCAAAAATATATTAAATGCAGTTTAAGTTCTCATTTATTTTTATAGAACCAGAGGTTTCAAATTTTAAAATATTTCCATTCTGAAATCACTGTAGATAAGTAGTGATAAGTGAAACCACAGTCCAGCTGTGCTAAACAGTAGCTACGTTGTGAAGAGCAACCTTCAAGAGTTCTGTTATTATGGACCCTCGTGAGCAAATCCAGAGCCTGGATCTAACTCTACCTCTGCTTTTCATTTTATAGATGTAAAACGTAGCATTTCTCCCTTCTATGATATGACCTATGATATGATGTGGAAAACAAATGGAGAGAGGAAGAGAAAGTTTGCTAGGAATTTTACAGAAGCTAGGTGGGGAGATGGCTCAGGGATTCAAGCACTTGTCAAAGCGTGAGAGGACAGGAGTTTGGCTGCTTGCTTAGAAGCCAAATATGCACGCCTGTAGTCAGAGCACGCAGGAGGTAGACAGGATCCTGGGGCAAGCTGGCTAGCTAGACTAGTCAGACTCAGCACACTGTTGGTTCAACAAGAGACCTTGCCTCAGTAAATAAAGTAAGCAGTTAAGGAAGACACATAATATCAGCTTCAGGACTCCATATGTATGTACACACACACTTGCACACATGTGCGTCCACATGTAAATATGCATATACACAAAAAATTCACAGAAATGGATTCTTTAAAGAAAAATAATTTTTATACATTTTCAGGTCATTTGTGAAGCATGTCTGTGTGTGTTTGTAGTAAGAAGTTTGAAATGCCCACCATATATCACAACTTTTGGTTATTTAGAATAATATTTTTCTTGAGTGGTGTCTATGTCTGATAGTAACATAAGGTTCAAATGAAGATTTACAAGTTATTTTTAAGGAGATCTTATCTGGGTCGAACATAGAGGACAGGCCTGCCCCAACATAGCCGATATAATCCTTACAAGTCTCGGGGAGCTCGGCACGCTCTATGCTGCTGCCCAGCCAGCTGAGTTGGAGGTCCCCTCCCCAGTCCGGTGTGTTAACAGTCAAGTTGAACAGTTTCTCCAGACTTACAATTTCAAGAATATTTAGAAAACATTGTGTGAACATCTTTTTTTTTTTTTTAATTTCTAAATTTACCATTTTGATACAAATACCCATGGTTTTCTTCTGTGTTTACATGCAGCCAGGAGCTATGGGCGGAGACGAGGTAATTTTTTTTTTTTTTTAATGAGATCTTTTGCTTGCCAAACTGTGAGTAAGTATGAGTCTGTATGTATTTATGTCTGTGCGTATGACAGTAATTAATGTATGGCCTGATGTGCTAGCTTAATTATTTTAGAAAAGTAATTATTTTATTATATTTCTTTTTTGTTTATTGGTAATTTATTTTTTTAATCATAATAAAGATACAGCAAAGTATCTGGAAGTTTTGTTGTTTGGATTTTTGTGAATGAACACGAGGAAATAAAGGCCAAGTGTATGTATTTTTTTGCCCTGTATTTCTATGGTCTTTTCATATGATTAAGAGGGTGGAGGATAAGTTTTGGGGGAATTTTTGATTTTATAAAGTTATTGATGAGTGGGTTTTTTTTGTTGTATCCAAAGACAAGTTTCTCCTAAGGATAGGAGAAGCTTACATTTTAAGGCCCCTTCCAAGGTATAATTTGTGTGTGTTTGTGTGTGTGTGTGTGTTTTAAAAAGGACCACAAAATTTACTTTAGTCCCTATAAAACCTAAACTAATTAATATAACTTTCATTTGTGTAATGCTGTAACCCCTTGAGTGAGTCCACATTTGTAACTGTCTACAAATGGTTTGAAGAAATAGCAAGAGGAAGCCTAGAAGATGGGAAAGGTGGGGCACAGGGCAAAGACCTGGGTTGGAGTCAGCTGACTCAGATCTGGTTTCCTCATCTGCAAATTATGAGGTAATAGAACCAATCGTGGCCAACGTCACAATCTCAGAAATTCTAGTTTTAAGAAAAGGTGCACATGCCTGTCAAGCATTCCACAAATGTGAGCTCTGACTGCTGCTCATTGCAAAATCGGGGAGGGTGACTCTGTCTTGCTGTGTGACTTCAGGCTAAAGCTAGAACCCAAATCAGATTCTGTCTCTGTTTCATATTTGCTAATGTTTACCTTTTGTCAGCATACCTCTGCCTTTGCTTGTCGTAAAGAGAAAATAATGATAGTAAATTGATAACATTTTATTATTTATTACATAGTAAATATTTATTGAATAAATGAATATTGGCTACATTTAATGTATGTATGATAGAATGTTAATTATAATCACTTTTACTTTGGGAAGTATATTTCTGTATTTGTTTTTTAGTATAAAATAACTTTTATTTGTATAAGTTTTATGTATAGAACATAACTGTTTTCCTTTAGAACCAGAAAATTTACAAATGATAGATAATTGCTTCTTTTGTCAAAAAATTCCTCAGCTAAGATCATGTGCCTGATCCCAGGCATGATCACTTGCCTGTGATCAGATTTAAACATGATCATATTTAAAATAATATGATAAATAGTGGATAGAAATATTTTATGTGTACCTTAATCATAAAAGTAAAGAAACTTTAATCACATCTCCTATCTTTATGTCATTGTAGATTTTCCACCTTATTAGCTAAGTACACTGATTAAGTTTCTCCGCTCCCAACATCTGCTGTAAGGGTATAACAGTAGGACAGTTTGACTGATTGGACTCTATTCAGTAAATGCTCTGTATTCTTTATATAGTAAAGCACATCTTCCTCAAAATTGTTTTATTGTCAACAAACCAGAAATAGAGGTTAAAATATAAATATTATGTAGGAATAAATAATAGTTTAGTTATAGGACTCTAACCCAACTAAGATTAAGATCATACCTTTCAAAACACAAAATGTTTAAAATTTACAAAAACAGCATTGAAATAGCAATGTGACTTACCCGGGGTTTTGTGGCATTAGTCACATGAAATAGATGCAGAGTTTTGAGAATTTCTACCTAATTTATAGCTCTTCCTTCCTAACAAGTTAAACCATAAATTTTACTGTAAGCCATGGAAGGAGAAATGTGCTCATAGCCGTTTTCACTGAGATGGCTTCACACTTACACGCTATGAGTTCTGTCCTCGTTTGCTTAGGAACTTGAAACCTGGTCCCCATATTACCAATATACAGTGAAGAAAATTACCTAGATCTAAAAAAATATTTTTCAATTGAAATATTGATCATTTCATAGTACATTCAATATAATTTTTTTTTAATCTTAGGCACATTTTACACATAATATAACAAAGAACTCCTACATGCAGACATCAGCACCTTCAGATAAGAAAACTACAGTGCTGGACTGGGGAAATAGCTCAGTTGGTAGAATGCTCGCCTAGCCTGCATGAAGCCCTGGGCTCTGTTCCCTGTACAGAATGAAAGCGGATGTGGTGGTGCACCCCAGCAGTCCCAGCACTTGCAATGGAGACCAGAGGAACTTGATTCTTTTCGGTCCATAGAAATAAATACCATGATTTTTTGGTCATTCCCATTTCTTTATTTTGATGTTGGAACTCAAAGCTAATGCCTCATATATACACCAGGCAAGTGACCTATCACAAGTCACATTTCTGTCTCTGCCTTCCTTTGGAAGAACAGCGAGCTCTCTTAACCTCTGAACCATTTTCCAGCACTTTTTAAAAATTTATTTAATTTTTAGTTTATGTGTGTTAGTGTGAAGGTGTCAGATCCTTTGGAATTGGTGTTACAGACAGCTGTGAGCTGCCATGTGGGTGCTGGGAATTGAACCCAGGTCCATTTGGAAGAGCAGACAGTGCTCTTAACCACTGAGCCATCTCTCCAGCCCTTGCCTTCCTTATTTTTAATTTCAAAAACTGAAATCCTAGAAATACCTGTTAACACCTTTTTGTACCATACATGTTTCATGTTAGTAGAAAATGCAGTGAGGAGTGGCGAATACAGCATTTTCAATTGAGGTAGACCTCCTGGACAGTAGACGGGAGCCCACTTGCCCAGACTTGCCTCTAGTTTCTTAGGCTCCCCCTAATCTCAGCTGCTCTCATTTTTGCTGCCCCATGTTTGGGAAACACCACTCTGCCTGACACTCTCCGTCCCCATTGAGGGTTCCTGTGATCTAGTACTCCATATCTTACCAGCAGCAGCGTCTCTTCTCACTCCATCTTTCTCCAACCAATCTGTGTGCTCTGCTGTCCGCTGCTCATTGTCAAGTACTGACCACTCATCCTTTCTTCTAAGTCTTAATTCACTAGTGTGAACCAAATTCAAGCCTCTCCCTTCCTTTTTTCATTACTTCATTTTTAGAACTTATGTGCATAGGTCTTTGTCTCTGTGTGTGTGTGTGTGTGTGTGCGTGTGTGTGAGTGCGCACGCGCGTGCATGTGTGTACCCTGTATCAGCCTGGTGCCAGCAGAGACCAAAAACAAACATCTGTCCTCTTGGAACTGGAGTTAGAGACGGTTGTGAGCCCCTGGAAACTGAACCCATGTCTTCAGCGAGAGCAGCAAGTGCTCTAATTGCTGAGCCATCTTTCCAGCCCTGCCAAGCTGTATCCTTTTAAGAAGCCCTGCTCAGTGGCCTTAGAGACAGTCTTTTCCTCTACTTAACATCTTGTGTTCTTCCTCGTCTTTTCTTCGTACCCTGATTCTTCAGTTGAAGATAAGCTATTTGAGGACAGTGTGACTTGTGCCGAACAGTCTGCTCTGTTAATTGTCAAATTAAATGCTTATTGACTAGGATTACTTTGAAATAGCACTCATCTATGCAGAAGAATTTGGCTTTATATTTTTCAATTATTAGCTGGAAATAATGGTACCTGCCTATAATCCTGGCCACTTTGAAGGCTGAGTATCACATGAGTTAGGAGTTTGGGGCCAGCGTAAGTAGTACCATGAGCTCCTATCTCTAAAAATGAAGTAAAATAAAATATTAAAAATTACTTGCTAGACATGGTGGCACAAGCCTGTAATTCTAATGCTTGGAAGGATGAGGCAGGAGGATTGCCTCATGTTTGAGACTAGACTGAGGTACATAACCAGTACCAGGCTAGCCAGCGTTCCACAGCAAGACCCTTTCTTGAGATCCAAAAAATCTAGGCTTAGTGGCACGTGCCTTTAATCCCAGCACTTGGGAGGCAGAGGCAGACGGATCTCGTTCAAGGCCAATCTAGTCTACATGGTGAGATTAGGCCTGAATGAATGAATGACAGTAGATAAATAAATAGTGGGAAAAAAGAAAGCTTTGACTTTAATAATTTTGAATGCCTTAATCTTCTTTGTATCAGATGCTGTGCTAACTGTTGCCTGCATTTTGATTCCCACTGTCTTAAGTCTCCAGAGTGCTAACCATAGAGAAGTAGGGGGATGAGGGTGTGGGGTAGGAGAAACAGGTAGCAGGTGAAAATGTTTGCTCCATGCTTTTTATTTAGTCTTCCACTGTAAGAGAGAAGGGGGAGATCACTTTCTTTAACTGTAATGATGTACCTAGGTGGGATGGAGCAGGTGTTCTCCTAGTTGATTCTCTTCCTCCAGCCTATATAATGTAATTCTGATGAAGTTACAGACTTCTTCATTGCGGTTTAACTCATGTTGTGAGGATTGAGCTAATATCTAGCCTGCTCAAAAAAAATCTAAAAAGTAAACTCACTGATATATTAATCACTTCAATGTGCTTATAATTACGACTAGAACTTGAGGGGCAGGTGGGATGGCTCGGCAGGTAAAGAATGTGCCATACAAACTTGGAGACATGCGTTTGCTCCCTAGAACCCACAAAGGTGGATGGAGAGAACTGACTTACCAAGTTGTCCTCTCTGCATGCTACCCCGCCCACATGCATCCTGTCCATAGTAATGAATGAAAATTTTAAACACAGTAAAAAAGAATAGAACTTTACTATAACTCAAATTCTGTGTTATATATACATGTTGGTAAATTCTTTTAATAGGAAATAATGGAAGTATGTGTGAAAGATTTGAGTTTTGTGAATATATTATGCCAGTGGAAACTTCTAGTAAACCTAGAATAGGGAGAATTTCAGGTACTCTTTGAATACTAGAAGTGGAGCTGGAAGCTGAGTCACTAGTGTGTAATTCAGCTAAGAAGAGAGTGAGGAGGTGAGCCTGTCATGTCCCTCAGTTGCGTGGAGCCAGTTTGAGGAAAAGCTGGTGAGGCAGTGGTCCATGCGGT